ACACAGTGGAGCAGAGAGTAACAGAGGCAGCACGGCCTCCTGTATCAACGGTAAGTTATCCATCCAAGCCTGCTCAGGGAACCACCTCATCTACAATCTACTCTCTGTCTCACAGTTTAAACATATACATTTTTTTTCTAAACAGAATAATACAAATCAATTGTTACAGTGAAAAGGAATTTGTTTAAAGTCTCTGCAGTGTTAAGACTCATGACAACTTTTGTTCCATCAGAACGTGTTAATTCTGACCTCTACCTAAATCAAAGCTGTGAATGCACAGGTGTGTCAAACGTTGAGTCTTTTCACCTATATCACTGCTGTTCCATCTAAGAGACTTTTGCAGTAAACTAATCTCTAATTTGTAAAATGACACATGCAGTCAATTTAGCTGTAGAGGGGCAAAACCAGGGAAATTGGGAAATTTGTAGTCAACAAGTATTTAAAATTATAATAAAAACACTTTATGAACTTGGCTCATTTTACAAAGTTAGTTTGTACAACTATTGCAATGAACAAGTTTCCAGTTTCAGAATGCTGAAACCAACTGTTTAACACAATCCTAGGGGGAGGGGGGAAAAAACCCTTAATTTCTCCAGTGAGTCTGATTTCCAATATTCATTTTTCAACCAATTGTTTTAATAACATTAAGCAGAATTCTAAAGAAATACTCAAGGATGTAAGTGGAATCTTAAATGCATACCTCAATATGGTTTCTGTACACTTAAAACGTCTTCCAGATAATACCTCCCTCCAGGAAAATACATCCTATTACATATAGAAATTGCTTTTATCAAGTTGTAAAAGAAATGGTCTCTGCCTGCTTTTGTCCTTAAGCAACTAACATCAACTACAGAAGGGTTATTAGCACAAGGAAAGCTGCCAAAATCCTTTCTGTTGCCAGTGTGAACACACACTGTGAACAGTGTACAGAAGATATCAATTTTCAGATGTCTCTGCAAAGTAAGGCCTCTGTTGAACATACCTGTAGAATCTAAATAATTCATGTTTGGGTGACGAGGGGACAAACTTGTTACAATAAAACCTGAAATACTGTAATCCATGCGGTGCATCTTCTAACTTGCTATTGACTGAAGGTACAGAGCACAATTTTAGATCTCCTTCAAGTGGCCAGCCCACAGTGTATACACACAGCACTTTAAAAACAAAAGCTTCATATCCACAGGTTCTTTCTTAAATATTTATCTATATTAAGCTCTTGTTCATAATGGAATGCCCAGCAGCTAGCAGAGCCAGCAAAGCCTCCCTCCTCTCATGTGCGGCTTTCAGGAGCACTGCTATGTTGAAAAGGCAAAACTGTCGTTGCCCAACAACGTGCAACCCAACAACAAAATGCCATTCCAAATGGCTTGACAGGAGAACAAATGTATGGATTTTTATAGACTTATGTCAACTCTAAAGTGTATAAACTGACTTAAAGCTATTCAAAGAAATCAAAATTCTAATGCTCCTGTCTCATATTCTGTACTGGTTTGAATCCTGCAGTAAAGAAAATTACTGATGAATATTTTCTAAATTAGCCTAAAAAGCCTATACCTAAAAAGCCACTTAGCACCTTTCAGCTACCTTCACAACAAGAAATCCAGAAACAAAATAACCTAAATATTACAAGACGCTAAAAGATACACTAAATTATTTTCATATTTCTAGAAGTACAAGTGAGTGTATTTGGTGTTACAATTTGCCTCAGCTGGGGCACTTTCCTGAATTTGGGCATGTGTTACAAGAGTTTAAACTGACATAAGGCTCACCTCAGAAGAGATTCGACGTAAAAGTTACACTGATTTAGAAGCACAATTGAGTTAAAGTTTTTAAAAGCACCTGCACTTTCAGCTAAGAATTAAAAAGGTGCATTTTAACAAAATAATCTCATGTAATGGCAGATGATTCTAGAATGACCTGTTGAGCTTTCTGCCACCAGCTCCAGGTTCACACTGCTTCTGCGCCAGCTCCAGCACACCTTATCTCCCAGTGAGATCCCCCAGGGAGCTAATCCTGCAAACAATAAGCTCTGCAGGAGAAGAGTGAATATGGTTCAACTCCCTGAATGAGCTCACCATTAGTCAGGTGAGTGTCACCTGCCAGGACATTAAATTGGGTGGCAATGCCTGGAAGTAGGGAAGAAGGGAACGAGACTGTCTCCTTGTGGTAGAAATAGTCCAATAGCTCAGCCCAAGGGCAGGACATGTACTGCAAGTCTGCAAGTTCACATTGGTCACCAGTTTTATTAGCGTGCTGTGTTTTTGTTGGTTAGTGCTGTTCTTAAAATGGTTCCTCAAGATTATTTTTATGGTATCTAAAAATATGGATCCATTGAGAACAGGGGTTTTTTTGAAAAGCACATTTGGTATTCTAGCTGCTTTAAAAACTCTTTGATTTAAGAGAGCATCAAATTAAGGTTTAAAGAATGTTTTTCAAATACCTCCAAGCAAGTATTCTCACGAATACCTAACCTCCCATGTTTCTGCTTTTTCATTGCAACATTTGTTAAATAAATTCTGAAGGTCATTTCCATGGCTCAGGAGAATCTGCCTAATATTACAATAAATATTCTTTGAGAATCTAATTTATTTTATTTTTAAAAGGCAATGAAATAAGCATAACATGACTTTTATGGATGTCACCATCTTTGGTCTACATCCAAATGCATGCTAAAAATAGTAAGAAGAGTTATATCAAACCAGGAAAGTACAAGGTGTCTTGATACAAAATATTGGCTTACATAAAATAGAAAAATATTTTTCCAGCGGATGTAAACTAAAACAGCTAAGAGAAAAACACCAGACAAATTGCTCCTCATCTTAAGACAACACTAAAGATTTAGTATTGATATATTGTGCAAGAAATTTAACCCAGTGAAATCACTTCCCAGGTACTATTCTTAGAAGCAAAAGCCACAGGTATGAGCATATGAATAAAGCTTAGAGATATATAAAACTTTTGGTTAACTGAGAATTTAAATTGGTTACTAAGTGATTACATTAACTCCCAATTTCAAGAGCAGACAGGTCACATGCGGAGTAACATCTGGGTTTTTTCTTAATGCGTTCAAGATAAAAATAACTATTTGAAACACATGAATTCTTTAGAAATCCACAATGATTTTTAAAAAGGCAAAAGATACTGAATACACCTTTAAATCACCAGTGTACCAAAGCAGCTTTATAAATGGTTTCCTTTCTCTCCACAGAGGTATCCCAGAATCCATTAGCGTAAATTTATTCGCATACCAAGAACACATTAGGACTCCACAAATTTCTGTTCCTCTCCCTTCTCAATTATGCCAACATCAATCAAGCACTATCATTCCAGTGCCATGAAAAATAGTTGCCTTTTTTGTAACAGCAACCATCACCTCCCAAAGTTCCAAGAGAGGAGACAGAGACATCAGGCACCAGCTTTGCTGCAACACATCAACAGATAAGACTTGTAAAGCAGCAGCACTAGTCACGCAAAACACCCGCTGCTGCAGGCTGGAAACAGCAACACCGGCAAGAAAATTCTCTAAGGTATTTGTTATTATTATCCTAGATACCATCTTGTATTTGCTGTCAAGGTATCAAGTTCATGTATGGCATCTGAGTGTATATATATTTAATAGTTCCATGAACACATACGCTTCCCTTAAATATAGCTGAATATAGACTTTTCAGGTGTTCCTTCTCAAGCTGTATCTAATTACTTCTCAGCACTCTGCCAAAGCAACAGCTGTCTCCTTAGGAAAGTAATAATTGAGCATGAAAATCAGGGTTGTACTTGCTTCCTGCTTTCGCTCATGGCTACTATTCCAAAGGTGGAAAAAAAATCCCCACACAAACATACCAACATCTGGAATTTAACAGGAAAAACTGACAATAAATACCAAGGAATGAAGTAAAAAAAAAAAAAATAAAAATCCATACCAAAACCTGAAACCTCACTGTTATTAGGTATTATGACAAAAATAAAATAAAAATTATTTTGGAAGATGTCTGTGACTTTTATTCCAGGCCTGTCTTAGGTTTATTCACATCTTTGAAGACAAGATTCACTCTACATCCAAAAATTAATTCAAACTCCTATTTACTATTAGAGAGTCAAGAACAATCTGTATCTCACAAAACATAACTGGAGATTATAAGTTTCTGGCCATGCATCCCTATTCTGACCTACTGGGGCAACCATGGAAACTAACCAAATAAAAGCAGTGGCTTTATAGACAGATTACACTACGTCTGCTACCACACCTTCCACTGATGTTACAATAGCATAACTATTAGAACAGATTTAGCATATTAACCATCATGATGTTTGTCTCATGCCAAAAATTTCAGGTACAATGCAAGTGGCAGCGAGCACTATACCCATATTAGTATTCTTCTTTTTGCAGCCCTTGGTAGCACTTCACTTAAGTATGAGGAGTGGTGGGAAACTTCAAGGGGAAAAGGGTAACTAAGACCAGGCAACTGGCTGCCCTTGTAATCTGAAATCAACTTAAAGAGCCACTTCAGGTCATGAGAAATTTCAAGATGACAACCCTTTCATAGTTCTCTTCCCACGGTCAGGAAAATACCACATGGAAAAGAAATACTCCATGAAAAAACTACTCTTTCACTTGCTTTTATGGTAACTTGCACGTAAGCCAAACAATGTACAAGGGTATCAATCACTTTCCTACTTAAATGCCTTTTCAAAGTCATGCACAAACTTATAAGACTGTTCAACCAACGTATATCCAGCTGGCTCGTGTACTGTTTTCGGATATTGGTATCTGCAATCCTTTTACCAGATCTAGCATCATTGTCTGAGCTCAGATGACTCAGATAAAAACAATGTGAAAACATAGTTTGTTTTCATGTTTAACTTCTCTGTTGGTCTCCTGCAACAATAACAGGAAGAGCTGTAGGGATCGATACGCAAGATTACTAATAGGGACTTTTCTTCTCCTACCCAACAATACGCACGTGAAACTTTCTTAACCAGGTAATACATGCAACACTTACCAGATCTCTGTGAAGCACCCAGTTTGCATGGAGGTAATGGATTCCGTCGAGGATCTGGTAGAGTAGGGATTTAACCATAGATCTTGGCAACTGCATCGGCTTTTTATTTGCTTTTGAGGCACGGTGAAACTTGATAATATGCTAGAAATAAAACAGGTAGAAACATAACATGTGTTAGATAAATAGAAAGGTTTTCTGTTGTCTTGTTTTGCTTTTTTTAAGCTATTAACACTAAATAATGGAATGAAATACAATATTTGTTGAACTTTGCAATTTAAAGTAATAGTGGCACGTTCAAATTTTCTTAAACCATTTTTATTCTCCAAGTTGCTTTAAAAAACACCTGACAAGCTTTTGTTAACATCTAGAGACTGGCTACTTACCTCCAGTAAAGTGTCTTAGACACTCTCCTCCCCATTTGGCACCCTCTTACCCTCAGCTGCTGGAGCAGAACCTTTCAAATCAGTGGTATCTACCAGAAAGAGGACCACACTCTATGCTTTCACACCTTCCCTCCTCCCCTCCATGAACACCCAGGACAGAATGCTTGCAACTACTTTACTGCTCCCCTCTAAGTCAGAATCCCAGGTAGAGAGAGATTAAATAAATATTTAAGCAGAGGAAGGGGGAACTCCAAAAACCCCACACCACAACACTAGGGTGAGATCATGTGCAAATATCTAAAAATGGTTGTATTCTTGCTTCCAAATTTTGGCAGCATACTTCATTGATGACAAGCTAGTGGTTCTTGGATTACAGAATACCCACGAAAGGACAAATACTGCTTGAAAACACAGAATGCAAAAAGGAATTCCAGCATTAGTCAGTTGAAGGAATGAAAAAAAGATCATGAAAAGATTGCTGAGAGATCATGAAATATTCATAAACTAATTAATATTTATTGTCAGATCAATGTGGAGATGATGGGTTAGGTTTGGGTTTGCTACCCCGTACGAGAAATAAAGTGGGGTGAGGCCCTTCTACCTTTTCAATCCTCAGACAAGGTGGGGCTATGCAAGGCACAAGCCCAATCTTAACATATTGCCATTCAGCAAACAGCTAAATCCATTCACACAGATTTTAAAAAATAAAATAAATTAAAATCTCCTTTTTGAAGGTGATTCAAAGAAGCATCTCAAATAACAAAATAGTTCTCAATTATGTGCTTTTTGAAAGACAGAAATAATAAAGGCAGTTTGCATTTTTACAGAAAAGGATTCAAAATGCTAATCTGTAGAGTGACAAGACTACTAATTACCCAATTCTTTAAACAGGATTTGTCTAGTTCAAGATCATCCCCCTCCCCAGGTTAAAGAGGTAGCCAATGGCTGTGCTTTCATCAGACCTCTGCTCCCTCCACCACCACCCCCTGCCAAGTTTGTCACTATTGTTCCCAATGCAAATGGTGATGGGTTAACGTTTCCTCACGGCAAATGCTACCTCTGGCTGTCACCAGTACTTCAGCCACTGTAAAATTGTGATTAGCAAAGGTGTAGACAGTATTATTTAAAAAGAAATAAAAAGAGGAAGAAAAAAAAGAAATCAGAACAAGGGCCTGCTTACTCCCTGTCAACAGCAGTGTTTCCACTGAGCCTTCCACTACTATACACACTACAGGAATGGCTGTACATTAAAAAATAGAATAAAAGAAATATACAGAATTATCAGTTTTTAATATACAAATGACGACTGGTAAACAAAATAAGCTCTTAGTACCCTATCCTTTAATTGTACAATCACTCTGAAATCTATAATGGAAAGCTTTAAGGGATCACCTCCTCAGAAATGCTTTTTCTTGTCATGTCACAAAAAGACTGTGTCAAAACTTCAACTGGGAGTCCCTACCTTCCAGTACCACACAGTGCTGACCAGATAATGACCTCCATGTGCAATTACAGTATGACCTACAAAGTAGTAATGATACCATAAACCCCCAAAAGAATATCTTTACTAATACATGGTATGAAAATAAAAAATACAGGAGCACCAAGAAGCAAAGGTCACAACACAGAGACCTATAAACCCAGCTCCAGCCCTTTTTCAAGGTTTAAGTGCTATGTAAGCACTGAAGGGGATTTCTATACCCATTTAAAAACTGACTAGTATCCACACAAAACATTACTACTTATAATAAAGGCACATCAAAAATGAAACTGAAAAAGGGTCTCATGGGACACAATTAACCATGGATGTGTAGAGGAGGAATGCTGTGCCCCTGGCACCTCTCGAGGAAGGGAGCATGATGGCACCAGGCTGGTGCCCTTTGGTTTCTGCCCCTGCCCTGCCTCTGGCTCCCTGGCTCCTTCCAACAGACTGGGAACCCTGCTCCATGCTTTGTCCCGTGAGAAACTAAAGGACCGAGCAGATATTTAAAGCAATGCGAGAATTGCAGAAGTGAATTAAAACTGATAGTTTTGCTTTAAGCAAGCAATATCACCATTAGATAAAATTTACAATTTCTTACCAAAGCAAATAAAAATTTTTGTTGCCAACTGACTCTATAGAACTTTGTGCTCATCAAATCGCAAACTTCACCCCACCACACTTCAGATTATAGAACTGAACACAAATTAAACTAAAAACATACTGCAGTGCCAAATAGTAGAGGGAACTGAAAAGCTGAATTTGCCCCATATCACTGGAATGAACCCACAGTGCTTGTGATCAAGTCCTACTCTCAAGGGTTTTATAAAAAAAGCAGGTCACCCCATTTCTTGTATGCAACTAGAGGTATGAAGAAAAATAACACGTGCAACCAACACTAAGAAATAATTTTAATGGCAGTGTCCATCTAAGAAACAGAAGCACTAAGAGGTACCATTAATGAATAGCATCTCTTCTATTGGAGGCAGCAAGCACAAGCTTTTTCTTATTTCTTTATATTTTCAGAAATATAGCTATATGGCCTTAACACTATTGTGGGAAAATATTACTCAAATTAAAAAAAAAAAAAAAAAAAAAAGTGCACAGTAAGGCAGTTATGATCCCATGGAAAACCTGTATTACTCCAGAATGTAAGGGAGAAATTATTCCAAAATGAAGACGGTAAAGGCTGTAACATAAGAAGCTTTAGAAGCATGCTGGAATGAAAAAGAGCTCAAATAAAAAAAAAAAAAAAAAAAATTAAAAAGGGCATCCGAACAGAAATAAACAAATGTTAGTAACAATTTGACAAAAGTTTTGGAGATCAGATAGATCAGGTGTACAGTAAGCTCCAAAGCAAAGGATGCCACACCAATACAAGTACGCTAACAGAATTTGAACAAATTAGGATGTTCTTTATACATAACTGCACTATGCAAGTGGATGAGGCATTCTCTACTAGCTTCACCTCCTTGATAGTCCCAAACTGCAGCCTCAAGTACGACATAAAACAGCCATAACCTTACACATAATAAAGGTATGGAACAATTTACAGGAATGACAGGAATTGTAACCTGCGCTTCCTGTTCCCCAGATGACTGCCCTAACTGCTAAGCTTCAGTCAGACATGAAGAGTTTTCATAAAGTAAGCAGCCAGCTAAAAGAGAGATTTTATGCATGTCTGACAAAGTGAAGTTACAGTGTGAGCTCTCACCTCAACAGATACGAGATGATCCATAGACGTCAAGACAAAACTCCCTAGAAAACCTGATTTCTTGAGTTCTACTGCTTAAGGCAATGCTTCTTTCAAGAAGCAGCTCCATCAAACTGAAATGCAATCACATCAGCACAGATTCCTCTCCCTACTGATTTAAATTGTCTGTTTCCTCCCACACTTTAGCAAAAACCTTCTTCCTATCCAATCCCTAATCCAACCTTTGAGAAAAAAACCAGAATTACGTCAATGTGCCAGTAAAAAGTAAAATTCCATTTTAATATTGAAGAAATGGAAGCTTGGATATACATTACATCTGTGCCAAGATCAAGAGGAAGATTCAGATTATATGGCTTCAAGTCTCATTTTAAACATAAAAGTATTTTCACCTTCTCTCTTCAGCAGTCAATATCCAAACAAAAGTGACAAATATTGAGTGTTAAACGTAAAGCACTTCAAAGGCTACAGAAAAATAAATCCAAATCTAAAGGCAGTATAAGAACTAAACATGCATTGTTTTCAAAATGAGGAAGCAAAGACAGACCCAACTAACCTGAGTAACATTTGTTTGCTGTTTCAAAAATAAATCACAGCTTCCCAAGCCTACCTTTAGAACTTACTTCAGAGGCCAAAGTTTTAGACACTAAAAAAATTTAGTCAAGGGTATATTCCAAGTAAAATAAAATAAAATCAAAAAGTAGGTAAAAGTATTTCTACTGTGATCACTTAAGTTTCCAGTTTTGGGAGCATTACAGCAATCAATACAGTCTTTCAAAGGAGGAGGGGAGAAAAAATATGCCTCAAGAGCCTCCCTCTAAATGATGCCAGTACACTGCTATCATCAAGTATCCTCTTTAGAATGTCATTATCCAAACTACCTAATGAAAAATCCATTTCCAAGTGACAAGAGGTCAAGATTTTAAGTAACAGTGAAAGAAGCTTTAATACACTAACTTTTGCTAATGCCAACTTACTTTAAATACCTAAGCTTTGAAGCACAGAGCAGACAGATTCAGTATAATTTTCCTAGGTTTTTCCGGGGTCTTTCTAGGTCTTCTAGATCTTTCAGACCTTAATAGATCAAAATAACTACATGATGCTAACAAAAACCACCAGAATTTAGGGACCCTTTCAGTACATATCTGAAAGACTCAGTATTCGTGCCTCTCTATCCACATTAATTCTTCACACACTTTATGCTTTTGCACCCTTGCCTCCATCTTTGACATCTGCTCCTACCCGTTGTCTCCTCCAATTCTCACACTTCATGGTACAGTAAATGAACCCACAAACTACCCTCAAAATCCCTACAATTTGGCAGAAAAAACAAGTTTTGTGATGTGACAAGTGCTTTCTCAGAACAGACGACTATCAACAAGGAATGGCACTGCTCTCTGCAAGAAACCCAACAGTCACGTCAGTGTCAAAAAGACCCTATCCATTATATTTGGAAGCAATAAATCGTGCTGTAAAGACTCCGTAATGATGATAAAAACTGTAACTTAAAAGCGATCAAAAACTGTTCCAGCTCGCTCTCTTCTGCCCTAACAAATTTTGTATTTAA